ACTTATATAAACCCTAAAGCTTGAAGCTTTTACAAACCAAGTGGGCTAAATGGCAACATTTTTGAACATTTTGATTGGGGGTTTTTTGGTTGCTTTTGTAGCTATGAAATGGACTGCACCTAGTTTTGATCCAGGTAAATTAAGCTGGAATGAATCTACACTTTTCTTTTCTATGCAGGTTTAGCTGCCGATGTTAAAGCTCGAGTTTGTTTCCTCAACTGCAGGGGATTAGGTGTGTCATGTTGACAACTGTGTTATTCCGACTCGCGTGTTTAAATATTAAACACTGCAGAAGACTTATTTTTTGGAAAGTATCCCAGTTTTTATTTATCTTGTTGTTTCTACGTACAATTGCTCTATGGAAATAATCTAACTGGAGTCATACCTTTATTTATACATTGAATATACGTTAGTTTTTATAGTGTGCATTTATTATTATTATTATTATTATTATTATTATTATTATTATTATTGTTGTTGTTGTTGTTGTTGTTGTTGTTTTTATTATTTTTTTATTATTATTATTTTAAATACACCAACACTTCTTTCAAAGTGTTTTCATGTAAACTGTACCTGACTTTATTTGGCATACTAGTATAAACTGTTGACTGAATTAGTTTTGAGTTCCCACTGAACAGTAGGACAGTTCATTCTCCTTTCAAACATGAGGGGGCGCCCTTTTTAAAATAGCTTTTATAAAGCTGTCCTGGTGCATCGTCCTCCCACATGCCAAGGGGAGTCTCTGCTGAAGAAGTGGTTTCAGAGCATGCGAAAGAACCATTTGCCCTTATAAGTCTACAGTGTAATGCAAGAAATTATATTCTAACAAAACATATTATTACTTTTATTATTATTATTATTAAAAAAATAAATACTTATGTTTAATGTAAGCCAATTTCTGCATGTCCAGTCAGTGGAGGATGGTGTTCTGTAACTTTAAACCATGCATCTGGTTCAGAAAACCTGAATCAAAGAATTTTGTCTTTATCCTGATTCTATATTTCTTTGATTCAGGTTCACCAGAACTGTAGTATTGCTAGGTTTGTGCAATCATTCAGAATTGCGAACAACAACAACAACATAAAAATATTATTAATGGTTTCTATTGAAGTTCATTGATGAAATACCTATGGCTATTTCTCGTTGTTGCACACTTCAGAGCAGTTTGCTGAAAAATAGCTACATCCCTTACTTACAAGAGGATAATTTGTTGCTGTTTGTGAATATTTCTACTAGCAGAACACAAAGCCATGGGGTAGAAAGTAGTGAAAAACCACTGACCCATTAAATAACTCTGTTTTAATGCTGTATTTTGGAAGCTACACATGGCATGTCTGTAAAGCGCCCTGCTCCAGGCCGACTACCTATATAGTGTCTAATAATCCAGCATTAACGTGGTACACTTGTTGCCATTCTATAAAGAGAAGAATGGCAAAAACGTGCTGTATTCCTCACAATAGGATTTTGTTCTTATGTCTCATGATCTAAAACTGTAAACTTCAATGCACCCATATAAAAACTGTGTTATAAAAATAAGAAAATAATATTAAATAAGAAATAATATTATTCATAAATGTTTTTTATTGTCAGGTCAGATCCTCTCTGTATGATGTTAAGCGTCACATAATATAGTTCTTTCAAATACCAACATTTGTTCCGCTTAACTACTTGAATATAAACTATGCAAACACAACCATTCATATGTTTCAACGATCAGATGCTGAAAAATGCCTTCTTCTCTGCCCTGAATAAAATAATCAGTGTAAAAAATAATGATTATGAGTTTTTAATGATTGCTTTGGGATAACTAGGAGCAGAATCGCAAACTGAGCAAATGACTGCAGATAATCTGCTTTCCTCAAGTGACTGAACAGCTTTAGAAAGGAGAGATTACAGACATTCATTCAGCCCACGAGGGCAAACTTGCAGTAAATTTAACACAAATATTCACTTGATTTAGCTCGAGTTAACTGCACAGTGCTGGTGTTTTTCTTTAAGCAACTGAAATGTCCTAAGGACATTTTCTGCACACTGAGTCCTTTGAGCGAGACTGATTTCATTTCGCGTGAAGCATTCGGCGAGGCACTTTGATTGGGTTTATCTTTTACAGCGTTAGCCATAAAAGATAAGAATCATTCCAAAGGGAAATCCTATTGTAGAGTGAAATACCTGCGTGTATCTGTGTTAGGACATAGCAGTTTGTACATAATGAATAACAACTGTGGCCTTACTGTTTGCATCTTTTCAGTATATTTTTTTGAATGTGTGACTTTGTCGTAGAATCTCTCAAAGGTGCCAGGGTGTTGGTCACCGGGGCCAGTTCAGGCATTGGTGAACAAATGGCATATCATTACGCCCGCTTTGGAGCCCAGATTGTCATCACAGCAAGGAGGGAGAAAGTTTTACAGCAGGTCAGTTATCCTTAATTTTTTCATTATGTCTTTTGGATCTGTATCAGGTGAGTAAAACAGGTTTTTCTATATAACCTCAACTGGGATATTGAGGTGACAATCTAAAGTACAGATCTAATCAGCAAGTGAGTCATTTTCTACATGGTTTGCTTATTCAGCGCAAGTCTTTCTCTCCCATTGCTTCCTTCCTTCCTTCCTTCCTTCCTTCCTTCCTTCCTTCCTTCCTTCCTTCCTTCCTTCCTTCCGTCCGTCCGTCCGTCCGTCCGTCCGTCCATCCATCTCTTCTGCTTCCGCTTCATTATTACCACTTTTAATTAGACTAATCCTTCCTAAATGTTGTAATCTCTACCCCGTTTGATCTACTTCCTCCTGATCAACTTTCTCACCTGTCATCGATATTCCTTCCTATCACAGTCATTTAGCTCCGGATCATTAAGCTTGTCCATAAGACACTAAATCACACCTAACATCATCTCAACTGCACCAGGAGTTCTGTTGAACTGTTTTGTGAATCGTTACTCCTTGCGGTTCACAGGTAGCTGAGAAGTGTTTGGGTCTGGGGGCTCAGAAAGCCCTGTATATACCCGCAGACATGGCCAATGAGTCTGACCCTGAAAGGGTGGTCGATTTTGCTCTGGAAAAACTGGGAGGCTTGGAGTACCTGGTTCTCAACCACATTGGCCCGACTCCCTTTGGCATGTGGGAGGGAGATGTGGAACATACCAGGTGGTTAATGAAGGTAATGGATCATTTTGACAGTTTCTCAGCACATAAAATCAAGGGAATGCCTTGATGTTTCTTTTGATGTGTGTGCGCGTGTGTATGTATGTGTTTTTAAGGTCAATTTCTTTAGCTACATTCAGATGGCCTGGAGAGCTTTGCCTTCTCTTGAGCAAAGTAAAGGATCTTTGATGGTTGTTTCATCACTTTTAGGTGAGTTTGTCACAATATTTGCCTTTACATCACGATATGACACATAAGTGATAAATATACAGTTACGAAAGCATCAAATAATTCTCAAAAGGCACATTTTTATGATTACACATTCATAGTTTTGTTTAAGTTCAAGCTATAACAAAACATATAAAGCAATTTCTTTTGGCTCAAGTGCTTGAGAAAGCTCAGCAATTTACTGGGACATTTGTCTTTGGTTTGAAGGTAAAATGACGAACCCCTTCACACTACCATACAGCTCAACAAAATTTGCCCTAAATGGTTTCTTTGGGTCCCTGTATCATGAGCTGGCCATGAAGAAAAGCAATGTGTCAATCTCAATATGCACCCTGGGGCTTATTGATACTGACTCAGCCATGGAAAAAGTCAGGTTTGTCAAATATGCTAAAGTAAGTATACACAAAGGATTTTTGCAAAAAGAAAATCTGTTGAGTTATTTTCTGTTTTCAGGGGTGTTACAAACGTACCAGCCTACCCCGCCACAGAAGCTGCGTTAAACATCATCATCGCTGGAGCAACAAGACAGCTGGACCTTTACTATCCGTGGTTCACACAAGTCATAACTCTAATCAAAGACTGGTCTCCTTCAATGACAAACTACTTCATCCAGAACTCATACAACTACATTCCATGAACAAGATTCATTTGCAGCATTAGTGCTATTATATACAGTATATATGTGTGTTTCATTTTGTGCTGCAGTATCAGCATATGAGCATACTATAGTTTTAATAAGAAAGCTACCCTTATTCACTTTCATTTTGCACATTGTGTTGTTTTCGTGCTCATATAAAAAATATTACGCTTTTGCAAAACAGACATCTCAAGCATGCTCAAACTTTTGGTTTTGTTTGAAATTTTACACAAAGAGTCTTAAATTACACCTGCTCAGTGTAGTTGCTCAATTTGATCCCAAAATGAAGATGGGTATATATATATATAAAAAAGGAAAATTGATCCATTCACTGTTAAGGTGAAAAACAACCTGCACCATAAGTTCAGAGAGACAAGACTTTAGAAACCAACGATCAACACAGTCAAGAAACTGCAGTCCATCACAATAAGCAAAAATATGGAAAAAAAGAGCCTGAAAAAGACAAATTTCAAATTCTACATAAAACACTGCATGCAAAGCAGTAGAATCGAAAGCTTGTAAATATATGATGAATCTAAATGCAACTAAAAAGGCCAACCATTTTTCTCATTGCACGATTCATTTCTACCAAAAGCACCAGTTTTAAGAATTTAGAAAATTTAATTAATTTCTTATCTGTTGCTTTCTCTACACGATTAACACATATTCTGTTAAAATCACATGGTTTCCAAAATGACACTTTTGATTTTCACTAAGACAGAGATATCTTTAATTTCCTTGCATGGCCTTATCACTGTGTTCGGACTTTAAAGAATAATAAATTAGGTTTTATTGTGTCTTTTTATTTTATGTATTTTTTTTTTTCTTTGACAATGAATGGAAATCAAACTGTCTCAAAGGCAGCTTGGAAACTTTTGGGTAGCACATAAAATAAAAAAAAAATTATTTTATTTTTATTTTATTTTTTTTAATTTTTATGGTTCACAACAGTAAAGCATGAATTTGACCGGGAGACGGAAGGCAGGCCAAGTTCTAGTCCAGTGAAACGTTAACCTGGGAGCCACGCCCCCCAAACGTCCGGAAAACTGGGGAAAAGAGAAAGTGCGTTATTACACACGTTTCAGCTCACATGAAAGCTAAAACACTCAGACAAACACTGCACAAACAACATGGGAGCCCTCGTGAAGATTGTAATTGCTAGCGTTTGTGTCGGCTACTTAGCTGTCAGGTGGAATGGACCAAGTTTTGATCCAGGTAAGTCAAATAAATGGAAATCTGCTTCCATAGATCCAATGATACATTTTGAGTCAATCCGTGAAGTCAGATCAATAAACACAGACTTTAACAACATAGTAGTTTCAGAATGGAGCTCGAGAAACTAATTTATTTCTTTTATTTCAAAAAGTGAAACAGTTTTTAAAATTATTATTTTTATTTATTTATTTATTTTAATTACGCACATAACAATATACCATTGGAAGCTGTTGTTGAGTCTGGTGTGTCAGGACTATCTTGAACCAGAGACAAGGTCAGAGATCCTTAGCCTGGGCCAAAGGAGTAAAGCAATGAACCGATGTTCAGTAGTCCAAAGTTATCTCAGATAAATGTATTTCACTTGGAAATCGAGGCTCCACAGTTTGAAGGAAGAGTCTGGAGACGCAGAAGTTGACAGAGGTCTTGTGTAAAGTTTTCATTGTGAGTGATCTTTTGGGTATTCCGCTGTTTTATTACGTTTAAGGTCAGCACTGCCATCTTGCAAGGCATTTTTTACAGCACTTTAAGGAGATGCCGATGACCTTTTTCCAGCTGGTGGACTTGGCACATGTTCACACTGCCAACATCTCTTCTGCTTGGTTCACTGACCACAATGTTATTGTGCTTGATTGGCCCATGAACTAGGCTGAACTAAACCCCAGCTACTGCCTTTGGAATATTGTCAAGATAAAGACGAGAAACACCATGGAATGCTATGCCGACCAGCTAAAGTCTACTATTCAAGCCACAAACTGAGCGGCATCATTCCATGCTGCATTGATGCTGTCGTTCATTTAAAAAGAGGCTTAACCCTCTATTGAGTGCACATACTATACATATTTTCCAGCTGGCTTTTCTGTTTTAACATTTTTATGATACACTTGGTAAGCTAGCTGTATCCCAGTAGTTGGCATCTCTACTGAGATTCTGCCTGCTAACTGTAGCTTTAATACCGTTACCTTATTAGAAAGATGCATGATGCTTCTTTAGTAGCCATGTTCATTTATGGATGTTGTATTTCAAACAGCTAGTTTTGCATTTCTTGAGAATAGAGGGAAAATGTGGAAGTCTTCTTTAAGCCAGCTGGCAAGCGGTGCACAGCTGGAAAAAACTCCAGCCACTCCACTCCACTCAGTGAGTCTCCTTAAAAACATTCTAAACCATATGAATATAAGGACGGACTTTTTTAGCTGTGATTAAATCATAACATTTTAAAACTTTGGCACACTAAATGATTTTTCTAAAGTCATAAACCCTGATTATGACTCTTCCGTGACCTCTTTTCAAATTTTTGCACTGCAAGTTGAGCTCGCAAATACTAGTCATTGCTTTTCTGCATCTGCAGTACAATAGCCTGCTGAGATAACGTTTTATTGTCTTCAAGGTTAACCGCTTTATATGTGGGACTGTAAAAAATATTGCAACCAAGTTGTTAGAATAATTATGTTTTGTTATCATTCTTACATTGGTAGCTATAATAGATTTAATATTCACATCCCTGAGAAAAGCTCTCATACTTGTTAGACTTTGGAGCTGCAGCTGTGTACAGACCTTGAAGCTGCAGCCACTTGTATCTTCGGGATACTCCTATCTGCCTCCCTCCACATTCCTTTTCTACTATCTACTTTGTAATAAAAGAGAAAGCCCTAACAAAGGGTCTTCAGAGCGCTCGGTGAACGGCTGGAAGCAGCGGTTTGCTGGGTTCTCTCCTTTTGCAAAAGCTTTCATAAAATTCACTTGCGTTGTCTGTTTGTTCTTTTATCTAGATTCACAAATACCTATCACAAGTGTTTTCTGTGGGATGTACTTTATGCAATGTAGTGGGAGTCTTGTGCATTTGTGAACACGGATAGTTTATTGTTGCTGCTGTTCTTCTTCTTGCATTTATTTTTCATCTTATAAGTAGAAATAAATGTTTTTGTGTTTTCATTTCAGAATCTCTTAGAGGTGCCAGAGTGTTGGTGACAGGAGCCAGTTCAGGCATTGGTGAACAAATGGCATATCATTACGCCCGCTTTGGAGCCCAGATTGTCATCACAGCAAGGAGGGAGAAAGTTTTACAGCAGGTCAGTTTTTTTTCTTTTATTACAGTTTCCTCTGTCCTTCAGTACTGTGTAGTAATTCAGCCTATTTTGCAAGTAATAACAAAACAGCTTCCAAAAAGCATAATTTTTTCTAATGATCAATTTTACTTTTACATAGAAAATGATCCATATCTATCTTGACTTCATACAGTAGACAAACTATGTGTTAATGTCCAGGTTCGTCTCCATATGATTTCTCATATTTACTCTGTTTCGCTCCCAGGTTACTGAGAAGTGTCTGAGTCTGGGGGCCCAGAAAGCTCTCTACATATCTGGAGACATGTCTAATGAGTCTGACCCTGACAAAGTGGTTGACTTTGCTCTGGAGAAACTGGGAGGCTTGGACTACCTGGTTCTCAACCACATTGGTGTGATTCGCTTTGCCATGTGGGACGGAAACGTGGATTACGTCAGGTGGCTCATGAAGGTAATGGAGCACTTTGATGGTCCGTCTGTGCTTAAAACGAAGAAGGTGCCTCTGATCTTTCTCCTTATGTCTTTTTTGTTTTCTGCAGCCCAATTTCTTTAGCTACATACAGATGGCCTGGAGAGCCTTGCCCTCTTTGGAGAAAAGTAAAGGGTCTATGACTATAGTGTCCTCAATAGCAGGTAAGCTTAATACACAGCAAATTTAGATACATGTATACTTGTTGTAGGAAGGAAAATAGTGTATAACATAAAAAAAAAAAAAAAACATTTTTAGCAAATTCTTTTTTTAAATTTGATTTTGTCAATTTGTGTCCAAATGTGGAAAAAAAAAGTAGTATCACGAATCAAAAAATCTGACTTACTCTATTGATTACTGACCTGTAGCCAACGGTGGGCTGCTACTGGGTAATCCTAAAAGGAGTATGTGTTGAAACTAACTGGTCACAAAACACTATACCAAACGCTCATACCTCTGCTGTAAGAGGCCGATGGTTGTAGGAATACCTCTGACAAAATGAGGATGGAGATTCCATGAAGAGGATTCATTTATTTTCACCTTCAGTTGCTGATGAGGAATACAGGTGAAAAAGTATTTTATGACAAAAAAAAAGTGGAAAAAAAGAAAACCCTTCAACACTTTTCAAACTAAAATATCTAATAAAAATGAGTGGATCTCAACGCCGTGGAGGTTCAATAGAACCAAAAAGGACGTATAGATGTTCAGGTAAACTTCCAGAGGCCTCAGTTAAGTTTTGGTGGTATATTTGGTTAAAATGCAAACCCACCAGGAACTACATGAATACGTTGCTGTGTCTGAAGACTTTATGGACATTGATTGTTGGTATATGATTTTTTTGTTTGTTTGTTTTTGGTTATGTTAATGAAACATTTAGCAGCTAAAGGAAAATTGTCATTACCACCCAAAGAAAGATTCAAAAGTTGTTTTATTTTTTGTATTCTTTAAGTGGCTTTAAGTGATTTAGATCATGCCTGGATTTCTAGTTTCTTTTATAAAAAAACTGTAACCTTTAATAATATATTGCATTTAATGGAAAAGTATCAATCAGCCTCGAAATTAAAATTTTTCAATTTACACATTCTATTTACTTTTGAGTTGAAGTACTTATTTCTCAGTGTGAAACTTTTTCAAGCTGCATACAAACTCGAGTTTGTATGCTGTTGTTTTAAAAACATCTCAAATGTTTCTTGTAATTTTGTAAGTAGGTCAGAACAAACTTGTGCAGCTCCACTGTAGGATCTGTTTTTCTTGTACTCTGCACTGTACTCAGATATTTATCCATGGTTTGTAGGGAAGCTGAGCAATCCCTTCACGGCCCCATACTGTGCAACAAAATCTGCCTTGAATGGATTCTTTGGGTCCCTCAACCATGAACTTGCGATGAAGAAAAGCAACGTGTCGATCTCTCTAATCACATTGGGACTAATCGATACCGAATCAGCTTTGAAAGCAGTCAGGTTTGTTAATCACATACAATAAATATGCACGATGTCTTGCGTTGTGATTTAATGTTAAGGGCTTTTTTACGCACTCCAGGGGGATCATCACGACGCCAGCGTATCCTGCATCAGAAGCTGCATTGAATATCATCATAACAGGAGCAACAAGGCAGTTGGAGCTGTACTATCCCTGGTACACATATGTCATGAATCTCATCAAAGACTGGTATCCTGCTCTAACGAACCGTCTCATGCAGAACGCCCTCAACTACGATCCATAGGAAACATGTTGAGATGGGTGTTTTCTATTGTAAGTTTTTGATATGGCTGAAAATATTTGATTCTGAAATGCATTCGAATGTTTCTCAGATTTAGGCTTCTTAAGGAAATGCACCTTTTTTGTGTCAAAAGTTTGCACATCCTGATTTTTTCTGACTATCAGATTAAAATCACACGTGAATATGGTTTCTGATCTCGGTCTTGTTGTATATGTACACATTTCTGTATTTTTTTTGTTATGACAGTCGGAATAGAACATTTCGGCTTGTAACAAAAAACAAAACAAGGAAACGCACACACTTATCCATACACCGATACGCAGACCGGTAGGCAATTTGAGCTTAAATGCCTTGCCCAGAGGCACATTGACATGTAGCAGGAGGAAGCTGGAATCGAACCTACAACCTTACAATTGCAAGACCACTACTCTGCCAGACAGCCACAGTCGCCCGAAAGACAAGAAAAGTTACATGCAACCAGTTTGAAGCCAGTCAATACCATACAGATCAGTTTATATCTAACATAGACAGATGGGTTCATGACAAGAAGCTCAATACAGGAAAAATATGTGGTAACAAAGAATATGAAATAAAAATCAGGTTTGGTTGCAAAGCATGAAACCATTTTAATATGTACTTGCATGTCAGAATAATAGCAGAACAGCATGTTTTATCAGACTAACATTTGGCTGCATGTTTGTACCTTTATGACTCATTTACTAGTTAAGATAAAGTTTTTATTGTTGTACATTTTCTAAAACCAAGAAATTTCACCTTGGAATGATACATGTTGAAGTTTCACATTCATGACAATACATAAAAAAAAGGGTATTTTTTTGTTGTTTTTAAGTTTTCCTCATGTTCAATTCTATTCTGCTTATTTATTTGGGAACGTTTCAAAAAATTGTCTCAAGACAGAAATACATTTGAGTAAATTTACTTCATGTGTTTAGACACTGGTAGCATATGTTCCCTGAATGTCCACATGAGGGCAGTAGTGTCTAAGTTGTAAAAGGAGCAAATACAGCTGCTGTTGCGACTCAGCAGCTGTATTTAAGGCTCATTTACAAAATCGCGATGCACGTCAAGGGGATGAGGTAAACAACTGAACTAAAATTGAATTATTAAAAATGACTGATGATTAACACTATATGTATATATTTATATATATTTTTTCTTTTTATAACCTGAGTCATTAGACTTTTAAGTTTCTTCAGTCTCAGGACTGTTTTCTGCACTTCACATCTTTATTTTCATTCTTCTCTGTCGTCTTTAGTCTTGTTCTCTCAAAGGTAGCCACACTAGGAGCAGCAGACCCCTCGCAGAGCTGGACCTTCTCACTGGGTTCCTTTGTGCCTTTGTTCACCAAACCCCAAAGGCACCACAGGCTCCCTGTGAAGCTCAATCCATCCCGGTGGTCTACTCTTTTTGTAGTGCACCCTGAAAGCTGTGACCTGCTGTTTGAGCTGTTTTCTTCTGTTTATCAGGAAGGAGTTGTCCTTGCTATGAAAACAGTGCAGCTTAAAAGGTGTTTTCCCTCATACACATATGGATGAGTTTGTAGAGGAAGAGAAAACCGGTGAATATGAAGTGAGTCGTCTTCTGACTGACATGATGATTGGAGGAAGTAATTGAAACACACGTCCCCTTTGTCCTCATGTCGACGCTCTTGAGAGAGTTGTTAAAATGATAGAAACCTTCCTCTGCACCACGGAAAGAAAGTTCTAAAGTTCTGCCTTACTTACTCATTTTCATCCATTGTTAAACATGCACAAAATGCCCGGGCCTCCTGGAGAGGAAAGCAGGGCTGGCCTGGGAGCACAGCCAGAAACACCTGCAACAGATTAGAGCTGCTAATGCTAGGCAATAAATCCTCTCACCCTTCTAGAGCATCTCTTTCTCCTCCATACATAGGTTTCCCTCCCACCCCCAACACTTACTGGAACTATATGCAACCTGTGACACGTTAATGCATTTCTTAATGCGTTAAGTAAGGGTATTAAGTACATTGTTGAAGTTTTCTCCTGGGTCTGGCCTCAGGTACAATCCAGGTGGTACACCCAAAGACAGGAGCAAAGCTGAGGAAGGCTGACTACCTGTAAAACTTGAGACGTGGCATTCAGATTGTCTGTTTCTGAAGTTTGTAACTGAGTTTTAAAAAAAAGAGCCTATTTGCAAGATACACTTTATAATCTGATCTACACCAAGAAAGATTTTGAAATGTCCAACTTTAATGTCATTACAATAGTCCTTATTCCTCTGTTGCATTGTTGGTGATGTTGCATGTTTCTTCTGCACAAACCTCTGTAACTTTATCCATCACCTATTTTGGACAACAGACAAAAGAGCCCTGATGTGCACACTCTGTTTAATGGCAAGACTCCGTGCTCTATGGATGCTAATCACAGCCTGCCAGTGGGTTGGGAAAAAAGTGAAAGATTTTTAGAAAAGGGAATCAAAAAAGCATGTTTGATCACACTGAGTACGCCTTTAAATTTGATCTGTTTTGATTTTGTGCCGATATTTTCTGCTGCCTTATAAATTCAAACATTCACTCACCAAAAAAACATGTGGAAGCAATCTAGAGTATCATGGATGACCTTTGTAAAGTTTATGCATTTGGTTTGTTGATGGTGTTTTAGGGTGAGATAAGTTGCAGGTTTATTTCTGACTGAAGGAAAACATTTTTTCAGTTTCAGTTCTTGTATAAAGGCTGAGATTTGATACTTTTCAATTAAACTTTTAATATACATTTTGAGTAAGCATTAAGTGAACTTTATGTACAGTGCATCTTTCACCGATGATAATCACAAAGTACCTAACATTGCAACGAGAGATTGACAATGACAAACAAGATTGAAATAGATATAATAAAGCAAGTTTCATAAACACTAACTAAGCTTGTCTTGATTTGCTGAGTGAATCCATCCAGCTTCACAGCTATTAATTGTCTCCAGATCAGAACAAAGCTCTGGAGAACGCTTCAGGCTCACGAGTGACCACCTTTTACTCTTTTTGCTTTTTGAGTGTTTTGTTTCCCACAGAAGAGCTGTACTGACAGCAAAAAATAGCAGACTGAAAAGAAAAATTGGTGAATTTTACCATCTGTAAGATAGCTGGACACTTCATATTAAGTTTGAATAACATTTTGGATGTTATTTGTCTCAAAAGTATTCACACCCCTTAAATGTTTCACTTCTATTTTTTCAAATTGCAACCATAAACGATGATCATTATCTCCAAACATCTCTTTAATGTAATCAAATCCCATGACATATTTCCAAAAATTAAGTTTAGTTTGTTTTTTTTTTTTTTTGCAAAGAGCAGTCCAGTGTTTTTTTTTGGACCTTTCAGTCCCTGTTGGTATGTGGCATATTTCACTGTTGAATTTTACCAGCTTCAGTCAGCACCTTTACATGATCTTTGGCTTTTGTAAGATCCTAATATGTTCAAACATAAAAATTTTCATTAGACAGTGCGGGGCAAAAAAACAGAACCACCATTACCAAGAGTGACCCACACTGTATTTTTCCACCAACGCTCTCCAATACTGCCCCCAAGTGGTTAGAACATGCTTGACCACTGAGACATTTGTACAACTGCTGATGGAGAAGTCTGTTTTCTGTCCTCATGGGCAAAAATGTATTTAACTTAAAATCAAATAAAGTCATATTGGTTAGAAATTAGGATTGTGTGGAGCTTGTAGAACACTGTATAATGCTTTTATTCTTTTTGAATATCAAACATCAAAACATTTTACATTTCTTTAAACAACATCATGCAGAGGCAGTTATCACTGACAAGAGTTCAATCTGCAACCACTATGTATGGAACATGCTAGTCTGAAATTGTACTGATCACTCCAGCCTTACAAGAGAGAAAACACGCAACGCTCTAATTACTGTCCTTCGTAATGACGATGTAATTCTGATGTAATTCTGTTTTTTTTTTTTTGTTCTTTTTTGGCTCGCCTTTTTCTCAAACTGCATTCAAAGTGCCAATGTTAATTGACCCACATGGTGACATGAAGTCATTAAAGTAGTGACGTGCGAAAGAACCATGGGAAATAACATTTGGAGAAATGTCACAAGTCCTCTCATGCAGGCATCCCGTTCAATCCCTGGGCAGCTGCCAATGGGGGACCAATCACCAAGACTGAAGATGTACAATGCAAAGCTCATCCAGAAGATCAAACCTTATTCTGAAATTTAAATATTAGTGAGTGAAGGCCAACCTTTCTTCTTATTTCTCTGTTTTCATCCTTTCGAGGTTTCTTTTGAAGCATTAACATCCATATAACAGGTGTTTTTTGTTGTTGTTTTTTTTTTACTGTTATGACCTGAAATATAATACAAAAAAGACAAATGAATGAACTCATCAAATGAAGTAAAGACCATCATATATTTCTTTAAATCACCTTTGATGCAGGGGTAAGGTTTCATCCAATTTATTGGCTCTTTAAGTAAACAGCCATTGATCTGTGCAGTTGTGTGGGCTGATTAATTTAGAAAAGAATGTTAATCTTCCTGCATAGCAAGCCTGTGCATGACCTCTGAAAAGTTTTCACAAAACATGGTGCTATAATAACAAAAGGAGAGAGTGAGCGAGACAGGCGGAGGAGGAGGACGGAGGGCGGGGGTGAGGAGGAGGGCTCGCTAGATGAAAACCTATGAAAGGGAGCGTCAGGGTGAACAAAAAGTGTGGGTGGTGTGAAAGGTGGCAGAGATGGCCCTGTGACCCCTGACCTCCTTCCCCCAGGGCCATTCAGAGCGGCACAATGGTTGACACCTGTGTCCTTTCATGGCTGCTTCTATTATTATTTACATCAGGAGAGGGGGAGACAAAACGAGGCCAGAGGTGCTGTGAAGCAGGCAGCACCAGCCCGATGCCAACAGCAACAGCCTCCCCGTCCCGCCGTCCCACTTCTGCCCCTCGCTGTTTGAAAGACAGGTGCCCACATATCCCTGTGTTTGCGTGCGCCTGGCAACCTCTTCCTCGCTAATTATTTCACATAACTCCAAACACATCTGCGGGAGAAGAGGATCCACAGAGACAACAGTCTGGGTTTTTTCACATCCCGTGCCTAATGGTCTGACATTGTTTGTTTTCTGTGTTGCTGTGTCAGCATTTACACAGAGGACAACAGATTCGGGGCCAAGAAAACTAAACACCTTCATCCAGACATACAATGCCATGAAAACATATTCTCCTCCTTTCAAATTCTTCTTGCATTTGACCTCCTGGAGATGCTGTCATTGCACTCTTGGAGTGATTTTAGTTTGCTGGTTTGCCACTTTTCCAGGTGGATAATAGCTCTCCTTGTCATTCACATGAATCCCAAATTGTGGGATGTGGATGTTTTTCAGTGTCGCACGTTTGATTGCACAAAACGTAACTTGTGACTTCGATTGAACATGTCCAGGGCGAAACAAGATTATTTCCATTATTGGTCAGCAACTAATGAGGAACCAATATGTTTGGGGCTGAATTATATACATTTGAAGTGATCACTGAAAATTCTATATATGTGCTCCTTTCACCTATATAGAAGAATCCTTAACCATTCTGGTTCAGAAATGACTAGAGAAGACATCAGTTTCTTCAATTCTTCTCCACAGGACAAGCATCTCGTTATGAGCTTGTCATTTATCAGCCTTTTGCTGAACAGGCTGGTGAGGAGAGTCACGGGGAACATGGGCGGTAGGCCGGGGGGGATCCATGAATTCCTCCTTTTTCATTGGGGGAGAGAATGCCCAATTAACAAAGGATGAGAAGTGAACCGTAAACACCCTCAACAAGGCCCAACAAACCTACAAGAATAAGGTCTCTCTCTCTTCCTCTCTTTCTCTATGCCCCTCTGTCTTCCTCTCTCACCTCCTCCCAAATCCCTGCTCCCTCCCTATTGCACACTCACTCTCTCTTCCACTTCCCTTTACAAAAGGAAGGCTCAGAGCTTACAAAGTGCCAATTAACACTGAATGTTTGCCCCTCGCACCTCCCTCTCTGAACTGCTGACAGCTCTGGTGTTTGGGTTAATACCAAAGGCCTGCAAAGAATTATAATTCTCTTTCTTGCCCCATCCCCCGTTCTCTCCCTATCCTATCCTTTTATTTTGTTTTCAATGGGGTGGTTTTACAGTTCAATGCACAG